AAAAAAAAAAAAAAAGGTAAGACGACATAATAAAGTATGAAATAATTTTTGGCATAAGATTTTTATCTTGAATAATTTGTCAGTGTTGATTTGTCAAGAAAATAGAAACATTCTTGATACTGGACAACTGAGAATGCTTGTTTGGATTTTTTAAAAGTGTGCTTTACTTTGATAATGTTTCCCAGATCTTAATTTGGGTTAACTAACACCTAAAGAGTTCTGGAATTCCAAGGAGGAGGAAGAAAGATACAACCTATTAGTCTTTCAAAAGGTCATCAAGCCTGGGGTGAGGCATGGGTTACACCAAAGCAAGGACTGAGCTTAACAGGTCACTGCCTGTCCTCTGAAAGAAGAAAAAATTACCTCCTTAGCCACATGCAATCCCTGACTTTTAAATAAGCAGGCTGATGATATTCTCTGGGTCCCACCAGTAATATAGAAAGTATACATCTGCATCTAGAATAAAGCCTAGCACACAGTGAGTGATAAATCAATACTTTCTCACAGAATGAATATACATGAAATCTAGGATTATGAATTCAGTGGAAAGGACATCTCCAACGACAACCAGGGACACAATGATCTTGACTCATGCATCCTTTAATGGAGAGTAACCAAATAGTTCTGTGGCAAACTTTGCTATTATATTAAAAAAAAAGTCCCGATAAAGCAGAACACAGTGACCAACAACATTGGCAGCTAAACACAATCTCTAGGTTCTTGGTAAATGTACAAGGAAATATGTCAGCTGTTGAGTATTTATAGTCCTTTATAATTAAAGAGTGACAATTTTAGAAGGGAAACAAAAACATATCTATAGATTTCTGAAAGCCCTCAGGAGTACTGGAAAAAAAAAAGTGCTAACATCACAACCTGAGTCCTTTATACAATTGCCCCTTGACATAAAGGTCACACTGATAAAATTGATTATGGAGGCACTAATGGATGTAAGTACTTGTATTCATTCATTCTATTCATTATATCATATGAAGTGTCATGCAGCTTGAGACAAAAACTGATTCTAATATCCAAAAACTTGACTAATACAGGTTGATTCCTACTTTTTTTTCCTCTTAATAACAGTGTCTTAGTTACTTTTTACTGGTCGCTGAGACAAAAAACCTGAAGCCCAAGTTGGGAAAGGAAAGATTTATTTTTCACATTTTTTGGAGGTTTCAGTCCACACCCAGTTGGCTCCAAGGCAGGCAGGCATGGCTGGGCCGCAGTTCATAGCTACTGCAAACAGCAAGCAGGAACCAGCAAAGAATAAGACACACCTTCTTCCTGCCATTACATCAGATCCTGGCTCCACCCCTATGTGGGTGGAGCACTGACACCATCAATCCAAGCACTAGACAATGAACCATCACAAATGCACAATGCAAACTCATGAGGCCTGGGGGACACAGACATAAACCATGACAAACAGGATATATTTTTTTCCCTAAAGGATGAGAATTTTTTAAAAAACTGTTTGAAAGAGAGTGAAATGGTAGGTTGAAAAGTATCAGCTGATAGATTAGTCTAGAAACTTGGAAAACTGTCAGAGGAGCTGTCCAAAAACTAACACAAAGAAGAGACAGGAAATAAATCCAATACAGCAAGGGGTATTAAAAAATTTACTTTTTATTATATCGTTCTTTCTCTTCCTTACTAGTAGATAACTGAGATCTGGAATAGGTCATACTTGTAATTAATGATTTCCATAAACAGAAGAGTCACACCTGAAGAAAGAAATGGGCTGATTCTAAGAGACAGACATACAGAAATGGAGTTGAAGACAGGAGTGAGAAATAAGAATATTTTCTTATAAAAATGATAGTTAAAGAGTACTCATTATGCCAAGGTACTAGATAGATGTCTTATGCTTATTTTTACTACCTGGTATGGTACATATGATCACGTAGCTTAGCAAATGACAAAATTAGGAGTAACTTTCTCTAGGTTACAGAGTAAATGAGAGGCAAAGCTAGAACTATAAACTAATTCTGTGACTGTTGAGTTTCATTTTTCCATAATTGTGCTTATAATATATGTTTGCTCAGTGAAGGAAAAATGACAGTATTAGATTTGTCTTCAGGGAACAGTTTCTCAAGACTGTATTTTCCATTTAGCTGTGTCTGAATTACTGATTTGTTTATAATTGCTATCCTTCACCATAAAGATCTATGTTCAATTTGACAAGAAGCCTATTAACATGATAGTTTTCTTCAATGACATCTGTATCATTGATATATGTCAATTAAAATGAACATAACTTTACAACAGCATGGCCAGGTGCTGCTAAATATTCTAACACCACATTTAACAGCTGTGAGAATTTCGATGAAAATTACAAATGATATATCAGGTGAACTGCTGTTTCTGAATCAAGGTATCCTGCCAAAAAATCCTTAAGAATCTTAATGTAATGTAGCAAAATCCTGTACATACCGAAAAAAGAAATTATGCAAACCAACTTGAATGTAAGTAAAGCAGGAGGAAATAGAAATACGAAGTAGCCTTTTGAAGGACAAAATTCCCTCAGTATCTGGTATTAATCAAATTTTATAATTTTAATCAACAAGTTCTAAAAAATGTTTCTACATTCTAAGATGTAAAGTTTACGTCTTAGAATTTTAATTAACACAGAGTAAGAGAATATATACAGCCTCTCCTAACAGAAATAACATGTTATCTCTCTCGTTACAATGTATAATCATTTTGCTATCTTCATGAAAAAACTCACTTGTTATTGACAGTATACTAGGAAAATGATAAGTTAAGTGTTCTGTACTGTTTTCACTTTATAACCAAGTAGCAATTTTATAGTATAATATCGCCTCTTTCCCTCTTTCTCAATTGTGCCCCAGCCTTTTAGAGAATTAATAGACTTATAGACTTTCACCACAAACCCTCTGAATACTTTAAACCCTAGGAGAGAAGAAAGGAGATGAAGTGAGGTAAAAAGCAGAAACCTTGAAGTTAGAGGGACTGAGAGTCAAGAAAAGTTAGGGAGAGGGATGTTAACAAAATATTCACTTTTGATTTTTCTCCAATGGACTAGATCAATTATTCTCAACTTTGGTTGAAATTATCAACATTTACATAGGTTTTAAAAAGTTACTGCCTGAGTTCCATCATGTAGAGATTCTGATTTAATTAGTCTTGGATAAAGCTGATGTGATTATGTTTTAAAAATTTCTCAAGGCATTATAATGAGCAGACTGGACTGAGAGCCACTGACCTAACTAATTCAGAAATACAACAAATGTAAACTGTGTTGATAGGGTTTTAACATATTTTACTATACCAGGATAAAATAAAAATCTGAAAACACTAGAACATGAGAATATCACAAAACAATACCTATAGCAATAACCACTAAAACAAAACTTTTTCCAAAACCTAGGAAAAGAGAGCAAGTAGAATAATCTAAAATGAATCTTGCCTGTATCTTTCTTATTGTAGAAAAAAACCAGTATTTATTAGCAGTATACAAATATAAACAATAAATCATAATATATACTCTACTCACTAGTACAGACAGACATTTGGTACATATAGGCACATTGATTTTCTATTTGAAATGTTGAAACTGAGCCTCCCATATATGAAGAAATACTATACGGGCAAAGAATAGACAAAGAACAAAGATGATCTAAGATCAGATCTATCCCAAGTTCAAATTATTTATTTTTTATATTTTCTTGTCATTTTCTGAGTTCTCTAATTTAATAGATAAGCACAGGGCACTATTTGTGATATATGACAAAACACCTCTGTGTCTTCAAAACAATTGTCATTGTAATGACATTTTCTACTGCAGATTTAATATGTGAAACTAGAAAAAAATTACAAGAAAAAAACCTTCATTAAAATATTTGCAAAGCAGAACTAGGGAAAAATAAACAACACAGAAAACTTATAAATAAATTCACAAAAAAATACATCATTCTCAAAAAATAAGCTCTACAAATAAAGGAGGGGTTTTCTAACTTAACCCATTTTTACATTTCTTTTTGTGTGTTTATGCAAAGCCAGAGATCACAACTCAGAGCCTCATACATACAAGGTAACTGTTCTATCACTGAGCATATCCTAGCTCTTATATTTTTTAATAGCTCTAGTAGTTTTTCTAAATAGTGAATTAAGTAGCTGATAAGACATAAATTTCTCACCCAGGGTATGACACCCAGGCATGACATCCTTACATTGCAGTTATTAGCATATATCAATGCTTCTAATAGAAAATTTACTATATTCTTATAGTAAGGTAGGAAACATGTTTTCAAATTTAACTGAACAAATAAAAAAATAAAAATAAAGAAAAGGAAAATTTTTAAGTCTCTGATAATGTCAAATATCCAGTTAAAACTGTATGCTTAGGTTCAATACATAAACTGATAAGGACAAAATCATATACATGAAACAAGAAAGGAGGGGCTAGGTTATTACTCCAAAAAGATGACTGCACATTTCAAATTTTTATAAGACAGCTTGTTTTATTCTGTTTAAAACAGATATTGAAAATTAATATAATTTAAAATGCTGCATGTACATATATACCTTTACTTTCTAAATACTTAAACATGGATGTGTCCAAGTCTTTAAAGAATACAAAGAAAATCCTGCATTAATAAGATTGGCATTTAAAATGTCAGTAGAAATAAATTCAGTGCAGTAATTTCCTTAATTATGTTTATAATATCAAACAGTTGTTCTGACACTTATTATCACCTCACCCATACTTCTAATATTTTTTGAGTGTGTATATGTTTACATGTGTGCATATGTGTATGGTTGCATGCAAGAATGAGTATATATACACAGCTATTTGCTCTGGTGATTAAGTTCATGATTTCTTACTTTTTTTCTTTGTTCTTTTGGTCTCAGCAGAATTAGCATAAATAAAGATAAATAATATCTATTAGACAATTCTTGCTTTCTTTAAAAAAAACTTTCAATGATTTTTGTGACTTTACACTTGAAAAGAATTAGGAAAATGGATTATTACATACCATAATCTGTGATTTTACAGGACACCAAATACAGTTCTTTTAGGTTCCGTCCTTCCTTTGCAATGACCTCCACACACCTGAAGCACACAAACAAGTCATGAGTTATACTAATGCGTTCCAAGTTAAATTAGCGAGGACCTGGCCATGAACACAAATGGAAGAGGTCAGAGTTTGACAAATGCTGTAGTTCTCCTTTTTCAACAAACCTCTTACAAGGTGTTTCAGAAAAAGTATTATATTCTCTTCCTTCAAACTTAAGTGCTTTAATTTCTGAATGGCTTCAATAAAATACATTTATGACCAGTGCACTGTTTAAAATGAAAGAAAATATATATTCCATTAAGATTGCTGTTATGCTTGGTTGTAAAAGACTAGCAAATATATGCTATGTAATTAATACATATCATTTGCCTAAAATAATTATAATTAAATTGTAGACTATATAATTAAATATTACCATAGATAACGGTAATATTACTACTAACAGTACAATTATTGTTTGTTAACATTGAAAAACGTATTTCGGTGAAGTTTTATTCAATATGAAAATGGTTTCAAAATCCTTAAATCTTTAACCTTATAAAGATTAAAATCTGTACACTCAAAATTTTTAGCTTAATGTTTTATGTGTAATATTTTAAATCAATTTCGTAGACTTAGGTCATTTTAATAATATATATGGGTATGTGAGATTTAAAATGTTTTCTAGTTCTCCCTTAAAAGGTTTTAAATGGTACACTTTGCTCTAATAACCTTAGTGTAACTTGTAGTGCAGAATTAAATTAATTTTTAAAATGATCCATTTTATGGCTCTGTTCCCATAATATTAGAAAAACCTGTATAGTAGTAATACTGACACATATGCATATGTACACTACAAGGCAATCTGTTTTAATCTTTATAAATAACAGTTAAGTAAAAGGGTAAAAGCAAAAATCGTCATTAACCTTTTCTAGGAAGTAAGGATCAAGTAATTTGATACCTGCGTGTATAATCCATCAAAAATTATTCAGTATCCATCTCTGTCTTTCAGATATTTTATTTGTTATCTGGCTTATTTGTAGATATCTTTATAAAATGTCAGGAAATTTTATAGAATTTTATTTCACATAATTCATTTTTAAAGGTTAAATTAGTTACGGAGAAGATGTATATTTCTTTTAAAAAATTTAATAGAATTTCATTTTAATAAAATGATAAATACTGAAAGTCTTGTAGAATATCAAATTTGTCTTTTTTCCGTATTTTTTTAAAAGTCTCAAGTTAAAATGGATAAGCTTTTCCATGACTATAGCAGAGAACTTAAAGACATACTAAAATGTAATTATGATTGATACAGATAATTGTGAAGGGAAATGTCTTTAAAGCAATATTTTAATTTATTCATAAAAATAAAGGTTAAAACTAGAAATCACATGATTTCATATTTTATATACCATTTAAATAATTTTTACACGATAAAAGTCCCTACATGACTATAAAATAATAAAATATTTTTTAAAATGTCATAATTTTCTTCAATACCATATATATATATACAAATTATATATATACAAATTATATATATATATATATATATACAAATTATATATATATATATCTCATTATCTTCCTTATTGCTTACCAAAAAAATAGTAGATCCAATATTTTGTGGTGACAACTAAGAAGTATTCATTCTATTTTGTCCTCACTTTTTAAATATGTCGTCTAGTTTTATACTTATTTATGGGAAAAATTCTAAACAAATATAAAATCTTGTTTGCATTCCTTTTACTTGATTCTATACTAGATACACATGCCATAAGCACATACAAAGAAAAGATAGAAAAGAATACAAGAAACAAATAATAAAAAGTAATTTCACTATACAAACCAAATCAAGTTTTATTTCACATGTAATAAGAACTGGTGTTTAGTAAGATAATTACACAATGAAGGTTATTTGAAAACTAATGAAAGACTACAAGCATAACATTTCATTCTTATACAACAGAGAAAAAAGTTCAGCATGTATAGATGATTACAAATATATACTATAAAATTGTGTAGTTTTTTCAAGAGGTAATATAGCCAACAAACAACACATGATGAAGGAGAAAAGCACTATCTTAGAGACTAAGAAAGGGGAAATAGAAGAGTACTTTGCTTTTATCAAAGGATCACATAGGATTTTTGCTGAGTTCTTGAAAGTTCAGTTACATGAGAGTTTCCAAATACTCTTTATTGTCCTATAATCACAGCCAGTATGCTAGGATTTATATACAACATAGGACCACTCCTGGAACAAGAATATATGAAGAAAAATATTATTCTTTGGAGGATTTGTAACAAAATATAATTGTATCTTTCAGAGTTATAATATATGAGGAGAGAAATCCTAAGTTTTGTGAATATAATGAAATGCTTAATATAATATTAAAAGAAAAATAGTTGAGTAGTTGAAGTAAACAGCTACAGAAGCTAGTGTTTTGAGAGGTAAAAGAAGTTGTATTATCGTGTTACTGCAAATGGATGAAAATAGAACACCACCTCTTGTCCCCCACCAGTGTCTGAAGACTCATGATTTGTCTAGGTCTAGTTGCCCAAGTAGCATGTGATAATAACAGGTCATAATGACAGATTATAGACGGTACCTGTCCTTTTTCCTGAAATTCAGTAGTCCACTGCAGAACACATTTACAGGAAGTTTACTAACAAAACACAAGTCTGTAAATCAAATGTACTCCGTTTTACAAAATATATTGGCTCTAGTCCTGATCTTTAGTGTGTTACCATCATATCATCTGCCAGTTCTCTGGGTAGTAGGAATATAGAAAATAAAATGAAGTGATAAACTACTGTATATTTTTGACAACCGGTTCTTATGTAAACCCCAAAGGGTTTTTAAAAATTATACTAATAAAAGAGAAAAATTTCAAATTGAAAATTTAAGGAGAGTGATATAACCAAAGCCTCCATTTAAATCCTTTTCCTCCTTACTTCCTTTTATACTCAACACATATCACATAGGACAGTTTTAATTAACCTCAGTGATAAATTATAAATCTGTCTCTGGAAAAAAGTCATAAACCCCTAAACTTGGAATTTAGAATTCAAATTGTTCCAAAGCCCCCCTATTTCCTGTCCTATTCTCTAAAGATAAACCTCAAAATATCATATAATCAAGATTCTATATAGGGCAATACCAAAAGTTTCTTCATGCATGGTAACAGATGGCATTATTAAACTCAGGAAAGAACTACATCATTAGGAAAAGTCACAGTCTATATAATGAAATTCACAATGTGGAGAAATGTCATGGTAAAAACATGTCATAGAATATCAAGTACCGTTAAAGTAGCCCAAACAAAATGTAGATCAAACAAAATGATGCCTACCAAACCATCTTACTGAATTCTAAGAAATAACAGAAAATATGTCTTTAAAAGAAAGAAAAAAATCAAAACACATAATTGTAGTCCCACCTATAAGGAACTACAGAACAACCACTTACCATTTTGGGGAGATTCAACATCATCATTCTTTGCAAAATGAAGATCTATATAAAAATTTTCTTCAAATTAATGTCCTGGTTTCATTTAAATACTGTTTAATTACTCTGTATTTCTTTCCCTCAGATATTTTTCTTGCATTTGTGTTTTGGCAGTGATCTGAAGAGAATTTTTAAAAAACTGCTACTACTGTAAATTTTGATTAATAGTTATTGAAAAATATATATATATATTCCTTTAAAGCAAAGTGCTAGAAAACCTGCTCTAAAGTATTCAACACATCCAGAATTATTTTTGATAATAATGTAATTTTATGCACATTAATTTTGATAATATTCTAAAAATACACCTGAAACATTTGATGAAATTTGAAAAGCAGTAAGTTATTTTGAACTGTTTAAGCTTTCTGTCTTGTTTTTAATAAGATAAGGCATTACTAAGTTTCACTGGAGGGGAGATCTCTGTCCTTAGCAATAGATTCCTAATCACCTGATTTATGTGAAGGGTAAAGGTTAATAAATTATGCTGTGTAAGCTTCAAAATTATCAAAGGAATTCAAAAGAGCCTTGAATTATGGAAAACAATGGCTCATTCTACATACATACCAAATTTTTATGGGTTTTTTTGGTCTTCGACTCAAAAGCTGAAACATGGCATTAGTGACAATTGAAAAGAACTAATGAGGAAATATGACTACATTGCTTGCAAGAGAAGTGTCCTAGGAGACCTTGTTACTGTTTGTGATGTGCTTCAAACCAAAAAGAAGCTAATTGGAGCTGCCAGACACTGGTTTGCTAATCTCACTTTAAAGGACAGGCTCAATCACCTTAGAGGTGTGAAAAAGAAATGTCCCCATTATAGATGCATTAGTATGTGCCTTGGTGAATTCCTAAATAAACTTTTGGATGCTCTTTTCCAAGTTAATTTTGTATTTCAGCAATAAATATATCTTTTAGCAGACAAAATTGTAATAAGACAAAAACAACCCCACTGATTTAACACAAAGTTAATATGAAGAATGTATTGGCAAATAAGTATAAGAAGTTAGGTATGTTTAGGATGAGTAAATATGTTGACCAAACCTCTTTACTCCTGAAACATATCAAAAATCATTTAAGTGGTGATTTTAGAAACAAAACATCATTTTTATCCTTTCCTGCAACAAGTCAACACATGAAACCATGATATGTGGTATTAGGGTTAAGAAACACACAAACTCACATATACACATACATAGAATAAAAAGCATTTATCAGATCTAAAGAGAATGACAAAGGAAGCAAACTTACTCCAACTGTGTGCCTCAGAAGCTCACCCAGATTATAATTCCTAAATGGGTCATTTGATAAGAGTGGTCACCAAAACATAATTTGGAATGTTACAAAAAGAATGATATCTGATTTTTTTTAAAACTTAAAATTAAGTTTAAAAATCCAATCATAGCACATGAATGAATGAGCATGACACAGAGGCATAACTTGCTTTCAAAAATGTTCTATGTTAAAAGGACAAACTTAAATATTTATGAGTTAACTCAACCATCTATTAATAGCATATTTCCCATTATTACATTATTATACAATTTC